CCCTAAAGCAAGCAATTCTGAAACTATCCTATAAAATAGAAACTAGTCCACTGATTTTCAATATTATTTAATACAATTAACATTATTTAGACAATGTTAAAATTCCTGCACGCAAAATGGCGGATTTCTTATAATACTCAAATATTACTCTTATTAATGATTTATAAGTAAAATACAATATATAATGAGAGGGAAATTATATGAAACTGAAATGTTAATAATTCCTTCGCTTGAAATTAATTATCAATTTAGAAAAGGTAATTAATTTTGAAACTTTTGGAACAGTAAAATCATACAAAACTGAAACGTTGATAATCTCTTTATACAGAAAGAAGTTTGTTTGTCTGAAATTCTTTCAGGTATCCTCGGCATTCGCGACAGAAATGATTGCGAATCTAATTTATCGGAATCAGAAGAGTTCTCACGGCGACGGTCGCTTCAAAGGGGCCATTTGTAGGACTGAGTAGGTCAATTCAAGTGATTCCTAGCAAAGAATCGTCCCCGCCTGTTTAATTCACCTTTTTGATTGAGCAAATTGTCTCGTCCGGCACGTGAAAAGACGCCTAACCGTCTTATGTTGCGAACAGGGTGGCGTGGGCGACGAAACATTTACTTCTTCCTCGTTCTTGCGTCGCTGCTGCGCGCCCGTCGACAGAACGGACGCGAAACATAATTCCGTCGTTGCTAAAGTGTTTTTAATTGCTCGCAGCGTTCATTGTTAATCGAACAACATTAATTAAACGATAAACAACATTGTAATTAAATCAATAACGCTATCGTTGTAAAGAGTTTCCAATTACTCACGGCAATCTCAAATTGTCGATTAACCGACGTTAAATAAATCACTGTTCGAAACTAACTATTCCACATTCACGGTGAACTAAACGAGTAATTTAATATCTGCGAGTATTCTCAAACTTATTACCAATTAAACGAGCAATTAATTTTCAAGCAGTACTGTACTGTTTGAGTATCGAATATCCGCCATTTTGCGTGCAGCGTTTCGACGCTGTTCTTATTTTCTCCTTTTATTGATGCAACACTTGCATCGACATTGTAAAATCAATTTTATAACAATTGGTTATACAGAAATAAAGATGATTTGACGTAGTTCGCATGAAATATATCAATTTTCTTGTACAGAAGAGTTAACTCTCCTTTCTGAATTAAAAATGAAACATCACGTAACACTGGAGTGTACTTCCTTCTAACTTTTTATCGAATTCTCACTCGAATATTCTCGATCGTGATATACAGTGAGGTTTCACTTGTTGCACAGTAATATTCCAGAAATTCGCTAGAAAGCATCGACAGGTAATGAGATTTCTCTAAAAACTGATCGAACGGGGCACGAAACTTCACGCTAATTAGCTTCTATCGACGTGCACGCTAACCGACGCGTAAATCATCGAAATCATCAATATCTTTCGAGTCGGCAGTCCGCAAGAACATTCTGTTCCGTGACTGCCCCCATCGTGTACGGAGAATGACGCGGTAAAAACCGAAAAATTGTCTCGTGCGTTTCGATGATTGACAGCGTACAATGGGATCGTATAGTCCCGAGAGAAAGTCGATTCTCTACGATGGAAATGAAAAAGCAGATTGGCTAACGGTCCGCGGGGAAACAAGGAAGCACGAAGAACATGATTGTTATAGCGTGCTGTAAAGTTTCGAACGGTCGGACAGGAGAAAAGATTTGTCTGGTTAAGTGTCGTTGAACTCACCGGCGAAGAGCTGGTAAGCACCGGTGAAGATGATGATGAACAGCGCCAAGAGCTTAGCGTAAGTGAAGATGTCCTGCACTCTCGTCGCCCATTTCACGTCCCAACAATTGATGAACGCGAGAATACCTGGAACAACAATATTGTTTGTCGTGTTATTTTTAGAAATTTTTTTTGGACCAGAATTATCGATTATAGAATTATCATGATTTTTGAATTTCTTTCTTTAGTTGTTGAAGATATAGAGATACTTCTAAGGAAAATGATGTAATAAATTAATTTTCTAATGGGTATTCTAAAATATAAGTCAGTTGGAATGGTAATGAATATGATGTGATATAACTGCTTGGTGATTTTAGACTTAATGGGTTTGGATGACTATAGAGTTATCATAGAGGGATTTTTGTAGGACTAGAATTGCCAATGATAGAATTATCATAGATCAAAATGATCCACTTCGGATTTCTTCCTTTACAATTATTGAAGAAATAGAGACACTTCTTAGAAAAATGATAAAATAAGTTAATTTTCTAATGAGTATTTTAATATGATATGATATAATTATAGAGTTTCATAAAGAGGATCATTATAGAGTTATTATAGGGAATGTTATAGAGTTTGCTGTGAATTTCCATGTTTTGTAGAATGATTAAAAGAAATGAAAATCGAAGGAAATTCTATTCCGATATTGGTTTTAGCGAACCAAGAACAAACCGAGATGATATTAATGTTCATTATTATCTGAACGCAGGATGTTCATTTGTCACAACCTTTCATCTCAACACAAAGACGTTCGTTTGTCTAGTGTTAAACAGATAAATCCGCCGAGCACTTAATGAATCTATTCACGGAGCATTTGACAAGTCTATTTAGCGGGCATTTAACGAATCTTTTCAATGGAATACCCGTGTGAACGTATGAAAAACTTTATTTAACGATTACGAAGAGTTAATGGGCCGCTGTGCATCTGAATCTTTCGTTACTTTCACCTATAATTTCTAATATAATTTCTACTCTAATCTTTAAATTCTCGAGAATTAAAAAGAACGTTTGAATTCGATATAAAAAGAAAATAGAACAGGAGCAACATTAAATTTTACTAATGTGATTTATACGGAACATAAAATTGGCAGTTAAAATGTAAAACTGCGGAATTGGTGATAAAATTAAAAGCGTCATGGTTCAGTCGTTCGATAAGTTTGGTGACGTAAGTCAGAGAGTTGCCTGACGTTGTCAACATGGAAAAACCATATAATGTGCGACTTTGAAGTTCATTATAATCATAATGCGCAACGGGCTATCTGGTATCGAGGAAGTTATAACTGTCGATGAGGAAAATATTGTTTAAGGGTCGTGACACGGAGAGATGGCAATTAGAACTTCATACTGAAAATATCTACAATCTTACTCGAAAATAACATTCCTCTGATGAAATGCAAAACAAACTTAAAGATACATTCTCAGAATACTGTAAATTTGAATAAACATTGTCTAAACACTGCCAATCCCGAAACATAAAGATACATTTTGTGAAACATTAACAAATGCGACACAAAATGTAGAATCTATAGAATCAATCTATCAAACTGAGAGTTCGATAAAGTTTCATTGAAAACAATTCAAATTCCCGTTATATTTCAAACTTTCTAAATACCTGAAAATAAGTATTTCCATAAAGATCTACTTATTGGTCCTCTTTGCTTCCTAATTCAATGATATGCAGAGTGCTGGTAGTAAAAAAGTATTCTATCATTTAGAGCGATAGCTCTAAATAGCTCTAAATAAAATAAATTGCTTTACTTTCTAATGATTTTGCAGTATTTAAGTAGGAGGTATATAAATGGTGTAATATTTGGACTGCATATAGAGTGGGGACCACCATAATCGCAACAACGGTTCCCAAAAGACCTCTGGCTGATTAAACACCGATCAAAGTGTTCATTGGCCTACGTATGGTGATAGATGAATATCATTATCGCTCGATATTTTATCTTACGGAACCGGTTGTATGCGGTAGCCGACCGTTGGAGACTAACTGGCACCAGTTTAGTGAACCATGACGGCGGAAGGGGTAAAAACGAGCGCGAACGGTTATCGACCAATCCCGTTGGCGAACAAGGAGGGTAGTTTCGCCGAACCAGGCCGCTGGTCAACGCGAACGCCAATCGTCGAAGATCAAACCAGCGTGATTACGTTGCAGACATTCTTTATGCTCGGGCCAAAGGTGGATGGCCTATAAACTGCTACCTTTTCTTTAACCTTTTGACTGCCAAAGATATTTCTTTAATTTTACAGAAAAAAGATATTGGAATTCGTGATTCGTAATTAGGAGATCAGAAAAATAATTTGAAAAATCGCCCTTGGAAAATCTAAATTTTCCTTTTACATATTAACAATATTACACGAGTATTACACAACTATTAAATATAATCTTTCAGAATGACTGTCACAGACTTTTCTTTAATTTTGCAACAAAAACGATTTTGGAATTCGTGACTCGTAATTAGAAAGAGATCAGAAAAATAATTTGAAAAATTGTTCCAGGAGAAATATAAATTTTCCTTTTATATTTTTATTCATAATAATTGTGTAATATTTATGTAATACTGTTAATGTTTCTTATGTAATATATTTATGACGTGGACAGTCAGGAACTTAGCGTGAATGATCCTAAGCATTCTTACTGTTTAAACTTAGATATTTTAGAAAGATATTTTCATTTTGAAAGCAAATAGGATTGCATTGCATTTGTTTGTTCTTATTTTATCGAATAAGAATCGTTGAATACATGTATAATTTACATTACCCACGACCAATTTACAAAAAAAAGCTATAAATCTCTTAACGTACAGTAAAAAAGGATTTTTTCGTATAAAATAAATGATGTTATTACAGAGATTCAAAAATGGCTTCCGGATTAATCATGCATGCGGTATATATTATACTCGACCGTTCACTAACTTTTTGTTAATGTAAATTTTCGAAAGGCGGTCTCATAAAAATGGTATCGGAAGTTTTCTTCACGCTGGAACATTACGCAAATGCACTCTGGAATCAGC